TGGTTGAGTCACCATCCCTGGAAGTATTTAAAAGACGGGTAGATGCGGCGCTTAGGGACATGGTTTAGTGGGCATGGTGGTGTTGGGTTGACAGTTGGACTCGATGATCTTGGAGGTCTCTTCCAACCTTAATGACTCTATGATTCTATTCTGCTACCCTCCAGCTAGCACCAAGGCACGCCCCACGCCACTGCCTGGAATCAAGCTCAACTTTTAAAACTCTTTCTTTAAAACGGGGGAAATAAATACGAAATCCTACGCACCGAGACATTCAGTGCTCTGCAGCAAGCAAAGCAAATCTTTTCTCTTCCCTCTAAAGCGGAAACAACTAAGGTGTAAGTACAAAACGCCCTGTAACGTCTACACTGAAGTTTCACTTTCGCCTTTTACAGGCTGATATTTGACTCGACAATTTTGCTTTAACCCTAAAAAGACTCACAGATGTGCTTTTTAGTACTCTCTGCATTTGAGACTAAGCAGCAGTAAGAATACCTGCGAGTTCCCAGAGACAAAGGCCCCCGGCCCAGTCCCAAACCCGCTATTTTGACGGGCGCCGGTCAGCACCTGCCCACACGGATGCGTCAGAGGTGCGGAAAACTCTAATTTCCAACGACATTCCTGACAAAACACCGCGGGCCTTAGGAGAACCCTTCCCCGCCCAGCCCCCTTACCTTCTTCTGCAAGGACTTCAGCCTGTAGTTGGGAGCCGTCAAGCAGTACCTGTCGGGCGGCAGCCTGGGTCCGGAATAAGGCTTTATCAACGGCAGCGGCGTCTGGTTTTTCTGCCTCGCGATGTCTAACAGGAACTGGAGGGACACGGTTACGTTCCCACCCGCCGCCTCTCCCCGCGCCCCGTTACCACCGCTGCCGTTTTACTCACGTCTCTGGGAGGCGGCGATGTGAACGACTGGTCTGTCCGGCACTGGATCGCCAGCCGGACGTCATCCGCGTCGACGCCGGATTTCTTCGCGTGGCTGGAGTAAATCTTCGCGTCTTCCAGGATAGTGGTCACGTACCCTTCGGGAAGCGGAGTCTCGCGTTAAGGCTGGGCTAACGGAGGGGCCTCCGCCCCCCGCCCCGAGCCCGCCCGCCCGGCCCCGACAACGCCGCTCCCCCCCGCGTCGTTCTGGC